TATATCTTTTTTTCTATAAAGGTTCCACCGATAAATCAAAAAAGAACTATCTCTTTTATCAATCATTTTATTATACATACCGTAACTTTTCTTAACAAATTTGCATTAACATGTGAAGAAAAATTATTTGAATTTGAAAATAAACTTCAAAAAGTTGAAGCATCTCTAGCAATTCTTGAATCTCGGGTATGTATTTAATTTAAAAAAAAAAAAAACTATTTGAATTTTGGATTTTTATTAAGTATTATTTCTATTTATTAATTAATTATTATGTGTTTTTTGTGTTAGTTATCTTCGATACCAGATTTGCAACCAAACATAAAAGTTGAAGCTGATAACGTCAAAGAAAATAATGAAATCAAACCTGAGAATGTAGAAGTTTTAAAAATAGATGAACCAGATAACGTAGAAGAAAATAAATCTATTAGCGATGAATCTTCTTCACAGAAAGTTGAAAGAGATCCTCGTTATGATAGATATTTTAAATTGATACATTTAGGTGCGCAGAAAGAAGAAGTAAAATTAAGAGCACAACGCGAAGGATTGGACCCAAGCATTTTGGAGTAAGTCTTTACTTCTATTAATAATTATAATGAATATTTACTTTATTTTATTTCACGTACTAATGTATGATTCTAACTGTAAGATAAATTTTACTTCTCCCAAATATATTTGCAATATATTTGTTTTGACATTTTAAATCAATTTTTAAAGAAAATATTAAATTAATATAATTTATATTCTCCATTTTGTATGCAATAGTAACACCATTTTTATTTTTTAACCACAATAGTGAACCTCAGCAGACATCTGGACCCAAAGTGAATGTGCCAGATAGAACTAGTTAAGATTGACTAACTCATTGAATGTTATATTAAAATACCAATGTTAATATTTCTTTTATATAAGAGTAAAAGAATACTATTTGCAAAATAAACAAATAAAAAAGTTAACAAATGTACAAATAAACAAACTCAGTAGATTTATTTTTATTTCTTATTAAATATACATAAGGTAATGTGAAATAAATCTTTTAGAACTGAATCATTTGTCCCTGAAAATAATAATATAATAAAGATTAGTACTTAGGAAAAGAATTCTGACATACAAAAATTGTAATTATGTATTTACCTTTCGTTTCTTGTCGCCACCTAATTCGAAGTGTTTGCATCTTTTAAGAGGAATCTGCTTTCTATATTTGCATTCTGTACATTCCATTCTTAATACAATTTTCTTTGTAGTTTTAGCCTATTGATAAAAAAGGAATATAAGTGTAACATGAATGATAGTTGTGATTGATAAAAGGTAGCTTTGATCGTAAGTACAAAATTATTTGAAGTAAAATATCACGAAGTTGATAATAATAATTTTATAAATTCTAATAATAATAATAATAAGAAGAAGAAGAACTTAATTTATATATGAATGTACCTTCTTTCTGAATATAGGCTTCGTTTGGCCACCAAATCCTTGTTGTTTACGGTCATAACGTCTTCTACCTTGAGATGCATGCCTTTCTTTGCTTTTTTTATATTGTGTTACCTTATGTGGTTTGTGTACCTTGCATTTCTTGCAGAAGGTACGTCTTTGCTTTGGAACATTAACCTATAAATAAAATAAATCACTTAAACAATCACATCCACTTATAATTTCATAATCAGATATTTTTAATAGTTATTGAATATATGTATTTTTGTAACATAAAATTAAGAATAATTAGAACCAATCGTTTAAAAAATTTGTCACTAATGTCATTTGCAAAATTTTGTTTACTGTTCACTGTAATTTGAATATAAAAAATACATTTTAGGTTAGGCTATTTTAAAGGTTATGTTCATCAAAGACAATAACGTATTATTTTTACGACAAAATACAAAATGATTATTAAAATATTATAATAAATGTTATCTTTTTAATCACATTAATTTTTCTTAATAATATATATAAAAGATTATTGATTTAATAATGGATTTTGAAAATGGCACAAAATACAAACTAGACCTACCATCTTGAGCGTTTAATGCAGAAAAGACTGAAGTCTCAACGGAAGTAAAGGAAATGAACAGAATGATATTTACGCATGCGCGGATGCTTACGTTGTATACAATCATGTCAAAATGTATCTTTCCAATTTGTTTCTATTATGTTTATAAGATGACTAGAATAAAAAAATCAGTTTATTTCCTGTAAAACTATTATAAACAAATTAAAGGTTGAATATTTTATAAATATATAATAGGAAAATAACTTCAACGATTTACATTCAAATACGACACTTAATCGATAAAATCAACTTTATATTAAGTATACGTCATAAGGAATGTAAGAAATTTTTTTTCAGTAAAAAAGAAAAATAACTATACAGAAATAGATATATTATGTTTTTTTTTACGATTATATAATACGATCGATAGATGCGTGGGCTTATTGCAAATTTAGAACAATTCACGCAACTTCGTAAAGTCAATAATTATGTTCTTTTATTAAAGTCAACTGTTGGATTTTTTTCAAAACAAGTAATTAATAGTTTCGTCAATTTATTTAATTATTTAAGAGAAGATTCGATCCATCGATTTGTTTTACGAGAGATCGAATATTGAAAACTTGTAATTGTTATGATTTACATAATTTAGATCAATCATAAATGAAGAAAAATATTTCGCTTTATAAGAAGATTGGGACGCATATTTTCCAACCTCAAATTTTAAGATGGCAGGTGTGCGTCTGCGTAACTCTAAAGTCACGCTATCTCTTTCCTTCTCTCTATCCCTCTCTACAAAACCATCTATCTATAGAATAATCGAGAGCGCGTTCTCGAAAGTGCATCGTTGGATTCGTTTCGATACGTGCAAATTATTAGTAAATTAGACAAATATTTTTTTCATTTAATCATTATGATTATTTGTTTTTTTTTTTTATAATTCGCGAAGCTTCCTTTCAAATAGGGAAATATTTATCGATTTTAAGGAAGAACAGGGTGTCCAAAATCGCCGCGTACGGATTGCAGCGCCAAAGCTTATTTGAATCGAGTGATAAAGCCTCGAAGCAGACGTTCAATGCGGGCTGCGAACTCTCGAACCCCTCGTCCTATGCGATATTTTATTTTTTTTATAGACAGGACGAACGCATTGTTTATAATATGATTTGTAGAATTCTTAAAATATTATCTACTTTTAGAATTTTCCCAAAAGGATGCAGTGATAGGATTGTATATAGTATAACGTTTTCGGCCAATCAGGTATTTATCGAGTTTCAAAGCCGCGCCATCTTCATTTTTGAACAAAGCCAGGTTGGATGTACTAGAGCGAATAGAGACCGAGTAGTAGTCCGCTTCGCGCTATTCGCGCCACCACGGTCCTCGGTACATGGTTCTCTTTAACTTCTGACTGGTTCGGCTCTGTCTCAAACCTGCCTCTTCCCCCTCTTTTTACCGCTCGCTCTTGCTTTTCTCTCTTTTTCTTTCTGTTACCTATCTCTCTTTCTCTCTTTCTCTCTCCCCCACTCTTCCACTCTCTTACTCTGTTCCTCTCATCACACTCTCGCTCGCTTCTCCCCGCCGCCGTCAGGTCGTGGTCTTCCCTCCCCTATCCCCATACTTCGCCTGACGACGCTGCTCTCTCGGGCATTTTACTGAGAGCCGACGACGCGCGAGTACTAAGAGTTTTGTTCAACGCATTACGTACCATCTATCTTTTTTTTCTCATCATTCCGCAAGCGGACACGCAGGCATCTAGAGGCATCTCAGGGTTCCAAGTGAAGACGAATTAAATATAAAAGAATTCATTATGAGTACTAAGGAAAACAACGAAGTCGCCGTAGAGAAAGCGGCTGATAATGACAAATCTTCAGCCGACGCGAAGTGTGAGATCAAGGGAATCAAGAGGCCGGCCGAGGTAAGTCTTTCATTATTCTTACTTTTTTTCTTTTTCTTTCTCGTATTATTCCATCTGACTAAGAGTTCTCAATTTATTTCTCTGCTACCAATCTTGCAATATCTTATGGGAGACTCTACGAACACCTGTGATGGTCCTACGGAATTCTCTGGCGCGTCACGACGACAATGCTCTTATGTCCATCCATCTATCTATCTATCTATATATATATATGTATATATATATATATATATATACATCAATTCGTGCATGCTTGCATGCATCCATGAATTTATCCCATCCATCCATTTCTTTCGCGTGCAAGAAGCGGCAAGGGAGGAAAGAAGCAAGCTAAACACCTTCCTTGATATATTCTTTTTGCCTACGAATCCTTACGTGCATGCATATCGGAGTATATAGTCCGAGGGTCGTGCGCGCGTGCCGCCTTATTCTCCCGCTCCTGCGTCCGTTTTTCTCCCTCTCCTCGTTCACAAGCTTTACGTGCGCGTACGCGAAGCGTATCCTCTCACTCTCCGCTTATTCTATCTTCCCCCGTTCTGTCTTTCTATCTATCTTTCATTCTCTCTCTTTCTCTCTTTTTCTTTCTTTCTCGTCCTCGTCGCCCGCCAAGCTTTCTTACGTTTCGTGATCTTGCGCGCCTATCTTCGTTTATCGTTTTCTCTTTACGCGCATACACGCGCGCGCACACGCATACGCTTATATATGTCGTATATCCTACTTGTATGTATATTTATATTCATTAGTATATACATATGTGTGTAAACATATATATCGTGTGTGTGGTGTGTATATGATATCTTTACGTGCGCACGCGCGCGCGCCTCGGTTATAAAAGCATGTGTACTACGCTACACGAAATGACGATAAGGGACGGTGATGGTGAATGATGACGATGTCGACACATCGGTAGCTTCTGGCGGCGGCAACAGCGGTGGCGGCGATAGCACTGCGCTGCAACGGTGGCGGTAGTAGCACGCAACGAAAATGCACAATGCCGGCCGGCATTTTTTCCCCCCATCCACTTTCTACGATAAAGTCTATTTTTTTAAACGATTTCTCAACACGTAATCAAACTTTTCATCGTCATTGTCATTTTTAAATAGCGAAAAAACTTGTCTATATGTTTTCCCTTTTAAAAAAGTCATACTAAAAACAAGATTCGAGGTAAGGGACGCCATTGCAATGTCGCGTGGCCGCCACGAGTACGCCACCGAACCGACTTTACTTATGCTTGCTTTATTTCTCTTTCTCTTTTATTTCTTTTTCCTTTTGGTATTTTATTTCTTTTTAGAAATACTTAATAAAAGCATAAATTTTGTCGCTTTAGTTACTCCTTCTCTCATCATTCTCCTATTTTGACTATACTCTCCTAAAGACGATTTTTTGCGTTTTGAGAATGTTTCTTGTGATACCATGTGCTTTTCTCCCCTCCTCGCCTTTTCCCGCTATATTTTATGTCGTCACTTTTGTTGTAATCGTCTATATATCGTCTATAATTACTCTTCGAAAAAGAGAAAGTACCTTTTGTTTTCGTAACAGTTTCATTCTCTTTTTCGTGTAAATTTTCATCTATTGGCTACGCAATTATTTTTATTATTCTCATCGCGTAAGATATAGTATAAAAGTATAGATATTATTTTCTCGAACCGACGACGACGACGACGACGACAACGCCATCTTCTTTGAAGTCCCATTATGGCGTCCGAAACCAAGCCCGCGTTCATATCTCTGTCTTTCTTGCCATTCTCACTCTCGTTCTCTATCCATCTGTCTCCTTTCTTCTCCCATGCCACTCCCCTCCCACCTTGACGAAGCGTACCTCTCTCTCTCTTTCTCGCTCTCGCTCTCGCTCTCGCTCTCCACCTACCGCTCGTCATTCTCACGTTCTTTCTCCCTCCCGCACACTGTCGTAATTGATCGATAATTCGCCGTAAGCGGGTTAATCGTGTCCGGCGAATAAGACCGATCGATAGGGCAACACGTACATCTCTATGAGCGACACGTTCCTTTGAAATTGTTTACAGTTTTAATTGCATAAATATCGCGCCAAGAGACTTTTCTATACTCTTCGTTTCTCTTTCATTTCCTTTCCTTCCCCTTCCCTGTCCCTCTCCTCTCCCTATTCCTCTTTCTTTTTCTCTTTAGGGTTAACACGAAGAGTGAACAAGTGAGAAAAAAAGAAAGAACTCTACGCACACGTGCGCTCTCGCTTCTACACATCTCTTCATAATATCTAACATTCGCCGCTTCCTTTTTCCCTTGCCAATGAAAAGCCCGCGCGCGCGCAACTAGCGGCAAAGCCGGGTATTATATACCCCCGTGTGTTTCTCTTGTCTCCCTATTCTCTTTCGCAAAATAACATCGTACCAGAAACTACTCGACGTTAACAACACGACGCTTTTGTCGTCGTCCTCGTCCTCGTCCTCGTCCTCATATTTGTCGTAGCAGGTTATATGAACTTTTGAGAAAACATTGGTATGATTTTCTGTCTTAAATCATCTCTTCGTTTATCTCTATTGGAAGTAAATGTTATTTATAGAACTATTAATTGATCTGCTACGCACTTTCGTTTCTCATTTAAAGCTAGGGGAAAATAGGTTATATTCTCCCTTTTTTTTTATTCAGGCGCGAAAAATACTTTAAAGGGCTTTTTTTTCTCTTATCTTCTCCCTCTCCTTTTTCTTTTCTTTCCTCTTCTCATTCTCTCTCTCTCTCTCTTTATCGTTTGTACTCAACGCGCCTTTCTCCAAATTGTTCATATTTGATTGTGAACTCTGGCGCGAGAGGGAGGCGAAGGTGTAGCGCTTAGCGTCGCGTCGGTGCGCCCGCCGTCTCCACCACCGCTGCCGCTGCCGCCACCACCATCATCACTGCCGCCACGTACGTCACGTGGAAGCGGCACGCTCGCGCGCGGAGACGACGCTTTGAGCGTACGTTTCTGAACCACCGTCGAACGCCGCGCCGACTCGCTTCGAGGTCGATTCCCGTGCATCTCGTATGATTTTCTGGGGAAAAAAGGAGAGAGACGAGAGGAATTTTTCTTCTTCGTTGAACTTATCGCCTCTCTCTCTCTCTCTCTCTTTCTTTCTCCACTTCCATTTGTAATTCTATAATCAGCTTAATACGATCGTTATCAGTCCTCTAATTCTTATGAAATAACATTCACTTGTTCGATTATGTCGTCGGATAATGTGTACTAAGTATCACATAATTTTTATCAACTTGAGTCGTCATATTTTTTTTTATGAAGCTTTTTATAGATCTAGGTAGAAGAACAAATTAATTGAATCTTTATAGAGTTTATCTTTTTTAATCATTATGTGGACAAATATAGATTACTTTATAAGCTTTTTTAATTATTTTGATTTATATATATATATATAATGGCGTCTTTATAATATTAAAAATATATTGTCGATTATCTATATTTTGCTTTATCGATTCTTTTAGAAAGACGCGCCAAATACAAAAAAATAAGTGGGTTGTGTAGGAAAAGAAGAGAGAGAGAAAACAATTCGAAGTTGAAGGTCTTTCTCGACAAAATGTGATTATTCTTATATCAGTTTTATGGCGGGAAAAAGATGGAGAACGTCTCTCTCTCTCTCTTTCTCTCTCTGTTTCCTCTTTTCGCGATAGGAAACGATTTGTAAATCGATGGTCAGTCGAGCCTAAAAATAAACTATCCGTTTTATGTGGTTATCATAGCATTGAGAATCCCGCCTTAAATTTCGATCGTATGCTGCCGCCGTTGCGACTCATACGAATTATTCCATTACGTGGCTCATCGTAATTAGATATCACGATTAGTTTTGCTCGCTAAAGAATCGTTTTATTTAATGAATAATAACGTGTTGTTTTTTATATGCATGAATTATTCTTATTATATTCATATAATACCTTACAGCAGTTGTCTCGTTAATTTTTCATAATAGTATATACTTATGTATATAAATGTATGAATATATATATATATATCTTTCTCTCCCCTTCTCTCTTTCTTTCTAGCAATCTATCTATATTTCTATTTGTTGTTTGCTAATGTTTCCTGTTATATATTTTTAGTAAAATCTCGTCGCCGACCTTGATCGTAATTATAAGCATTTTCTTCAAATGATGAGAGTGCAATCAAACGGTACAGAAAGAGACCATTACGATGAATCCACATTTGAACGTGTTTTCCTGTGTAATGTGTTGTTCGTTTAACTGTAATATAACGTTTTAAATTAATTACATAACTATTCTTAGCTTGTTGTTAATTTCTCTCGAGAAACGTAAAAGAAAGGCGATCAAAGAGGAGTCCCGTACGGATAGATTATGCACGACTTGGGTTATCTGGTAAGACCTCGTGATTGTTTAACGTTACCGATAGGTAATCGTGCGCGTTCGTCTTCGGATAACAGAGCGTATCACGTTGCTCGAAAGCACAACGACTGTTTTGCGCGCGCGCATCGTTGTTCGCGTCCTCCGTCGTCGTCATCGTCGTCGTTTGTCGCTAGCGACGTTTTATGGAAACTCGCTCAAAGTTACGAGACTATCGGTATACATACATAAGTATATAATCATATTTCTCGAGGTCTGTCCACATAATTTATTCAATTTGTAAAGAAATGTGATCTTATCGTAAGGAATTGCAAACTGCCACTAAATTTATTTACATGAAAATATAGACTTTCAATTATTTTATCATTCGATCGATTTCTTTATTTGAAGTTGTTACTTTTTACATATTTCCTTTATTTATTTATAATTATACGAATTTGTTGAAATATCTTTCGATTCAATAAATTTTTCATTCCTAATGATTCGTCCTTGATTCTTCTTCAAGAGAGAAGAATAAAATATTATTATAATTTAAAACCGCAACTTTCCGTTTTGGTTTGTGTAAAGACAAGGGCTAGAACAAGATAGCCGACCGGCCGGCAATAAGCACGCTGCATTCTCGTGGGCTTCTTCCCCTTTTACACTGTGGTGAAGCTTCCTTCAAGCAATACGAATACGGCGGGGGTTCTCTTAGCCTAGCATCAACTGCCAGTGCGTCGCTTCGTTTTCATCAGCCAATCGTTGCTTTCTGCTATCGCTGTGTTCGACGTTACAAGCCTTTTCATTGGTCTACCCGTCTTTCCCATCTATTCTCTCTCTCTCTCTCTCTCTTTCTGACTATCACTGATACATAAACGTTGGCACGCTGTTAGTAGTGTTCAGGAACGGCTCAAGAACGTAACAAACAAGGGTTGCTTCATTCATTGTCACGATGATTATTCTCAATCTTTTTAAGTCATCATTTATATCAAATATTTATTTTTGTAAGTTTGAAATTTATCGACCAAAAAGTACGATCATGTTTCTTAATAAGTAATGCATATTAACACAATTAGTATTTTTAATAACTTAAAAATATTTCTTTTTATATTTTAAGTAATACGATTTATATAAGTTTGTTTTAAGTTATACAAAATTGATTTAAAATGCTAATTTTATGTTTCTTTTTTTTTTACGAATATGATCAAAAATCGTTCTGCATTTTAAAGTAATTTAAACAGTACTTTATAAATAAATTATTAATGATGATAAACTGATTGATGAATTGCCTTCCAATTATGTTATTTATTTTTCTTTCATTTGATAGTTTTATTCTTTACTCTACGCAAAATACAATTCTTTGTTCTATTGCTTCCAAACAAAAATCTTTTTATCAATAAGATCAATGCAACTGGGTCACGTGATTTTTCCCGCCATACTTGATATTATTGATTTTATCGATATAGTCACGGAACAAGAATATAAAAATTAGCACAAATCGCCTCTCCTTTCTTTTTCTATTCTTATCTATCTATTATTTATTTAACTATCTATTTATCTGACTATTTATCTATATACACAGACATTGTTTATTTATAAACGTGTTACATTTATTCATTCGTACAATCATTTACAGGAGAAAAATGACGAAGTCAAAAAGCAAAAGAAGGAAGAGAATGGAGATGGCGATATAGAAGAAGAGGAAATAGAGGAAGAGGTAGAAGAAGAAGAAGAGGTAGATGGTGATGGTGAGGAAGATGATGAAGAAGATGACATACCAGAAGGAGAGGAAGATTTGGAAGAAGGAGAAGGTTAGTGAGAGAGTTAGAATTAAATATACAAATTTAATTTAATATATATTATATACACATTAAGTTATATTATTTTCGTGAATTATTAATGATGAGTTAATTAACTGTAAAATAATGTTGATACAGAAGAAGAAGAAGATGAAGCAGAGGGTGAAGGTGAAGAAGTGGAGGATGAGGAAGAAGACTCATAATGAAAAGATTGGAAAATTAATGTAAGTAAAAAGGGAGGAAGGCACGTGGCATCATCGTCGATCTTCGGCAATATTTTCAGCAAACACTTACTCTCATATTGAGTGGTTGGTAACAATGTTGATATCGATCGTGCCCAATCAATGTCACTGGATCATCCTCCTGAACTACAAAATAAAAATTACCATCTCACCGGAGTTGTGTCGGGCTGACGCATTATATTAATGCAGTCGCGTTTCTTATATTGTCTTGGCTCTTCGCAATTCTAATATCTTCTAGCCATCACCAAATACTATTAGGTCGTTCGCACGAAAATTGTACATTTGTCCTGAGGACAGCAATAAACTGATTAATAAATTTCCAACGCATATGTATATATAAATATTATATAAACATAATTATAATTTATATTATTATTATTCTAATAAATAATGAACACACATTATTATGTTTATATATATATTTATATACATGTATTTAGGCTCCGTAATAATATACCAATTAAAATCCTGGTATGTTAGATGGCTGCTGCTTGTCCTCGAGACAAATATGCCACTTTAATATGAACCACCTATTAAACTGGTATTTGCCGTCATCTGGCTTTCTGAAAAGAAAATTTTTTAATGAAAACTTATTTAAGAATAAATAAGAAAAATAAAAAAATTTTATTATATTTAAATAGTGTACAATGAACATTTGAATGCGACAGTTTTTTTATATTTGAAATCAAATTTACGTTTATAGTTCAACGAATGTCTCTCACCTAGTGCGTGTGATTGAGTTTTTTTTTTTTTTTTTTNTCAACTGATGTGTAATAGCAGTGTTTTCGCAGGAGCGCGAGGCTCGCAAAGTATAAATCGTATGGTATATGAATGTGGAGTGCATTAATAAAAAAAAACAAAACGGAACGAAACGAAATGAAACTAGACGAAACTTAAGCAAAAATAAAATTCAACTAAGGTATAAATCGTATGGACATCTCTCGACATTCGGATGTGTATATATATATGTATACGCAAACTAGAGAAATTCATAAAAAAAAAAAAAAGAAAAAAAAATACAAAAAAAAAAAGAACCCCCACCGCTTCGTGCTCCTGTAAAATAAAGAGGCAGGTATATTAAGGTTATGTAAATGCAATGTTCGCGTCAGGTAGTTGTATGGATGAATAATGTGTGACTTAAGCATTGCATAATAATTATACATAGTATGTATAAAGTTATGAAATAAGAAACATTTTATTATTAACGATAATATTATGTAACGTAATGTAATGTAACGTAATGCGGGGAGGTTGTTACTCTTTAGATTTGGGCATAGCGAGTAGGGAGAGCATTTATATATCCAATTCCCAAAGCTCACATTGACTGCTGCGTTCCATCATCGTTGTTTAATTTCTGTTGATTTAATCTGTTTTATTTTACTTTTATGCAAACACATCAAAGAATCAATCCTATATTTATATTATTTCTTCTTGCAGTTATTTGAAATAAAAGAGGAAATGTAAAGTATGTAATAGGCATTCTATAAAATCTTACAAATTATTTTATTATGGTTTAGATCACGTGTATTTGATAGTATAGTAGTAAAAGATCCGATAACTCTCCCTATTCCAGTGTTCTCTCTCTCTCTCTCTCTCTCTCTTTCTTTCTCTATTTCTCTCTTTCACACTTTCACTCACACTCACTCATTCACTCACCTTCATTTGAGCGTATTCGATTGTATTTTTTATGTACTGCGGTTTTACTTTGACTTCATTGTCATGGGCTACTCATAGCAATGATTCTGGTTGACTGTCGCAGAGAATAAGTGATGGGGGAGTTTATTTCTAGTGATTCCTTTTCATTCGTGACGATCGGTATTTAACGGTAACGTTATTCATATGTATCCGCAAAAAATAAAAAATTGATCAAAGACAGAGTTTTTAGCAGATCATTCTTTACGCTTGATAAAGATGATTATCACTTAGTTACATTCGACAGTCAAAACGCGATGATGATGATGATGCTCTTTATACATTTAGTATTAAGAGTTTTGAAGGATCAGTTGCTAATACAGATGCGTCCATATTGTCAGTTACTTTTTTGGGAGACTGTTAAATAAAAAGAAGGGTGAAGAGACATTGCGGTTACGACACCATTGTACCATAGCTGCATAATAATTAAATAAAAAATAATGATAATTTGATGAATGCGAGAGAATGTCCCACGTTTTAATGTACAAATATTTTCGAATGAGATAGTTTAATAAACACAGTAAGATCGGATAAATCAATTCGTTCTCGTGAAGTAGTAATGAGTTTTAATATTTTAATGAAACAAAAAAAAAAAAAATAATAAGAATAAGGAAAAAAAAAATAAAAATTATAAGAACAATCGCGGTTTTATAGACTGCCCCATGATGTCTCATATGACCGTGAAAAAAAAAAAAAGAATTAGCTGGTATGAAACTTAAAGAGATGAACTGGACCGTGTCCTTCCGTGCTTTTATTTTATAGCACGACTGTAAGTGCGATCGTTTGTATGTATATGTGTGTATGCGTGCGTGCATGCGTGCGTGTGCGTATTGTATCCTAGACCTACAAGATCAATAAGAAAAAGACAGAAAAGAAAAGAAAAGAAAAGGTGTGGAATGAAACACGAGCGCACTCAAAGAGACGCGATGAGATATCGTCAGGCTGATTCTTTATTAATAAATACGGGCCAATACCATTTCTGGCAGTTTCTCTGTTAAACAAAACATAACTACGGTTTTATACACAAACTGCTACTGTATGTACACGTGCTTGCTTCAAGATAGTACCTTGACTCTAATTTTGTTGACAAAGAACTATCTTAAAGTATGGATGCAAGAGAAAAGATAAAGCTGAGTACACTTTAGCATTCATAGTATACTATACGTACACTATAAGTATAGGTTTATTTAATTTTATTAATATAATAAAATGTCAAGTCCCGTTCGCAACACAACCAGAATAACAAAATAAAAGAAAAAAAAAAAAGAAAAAAAAAATGGAAGACTTGCGTTATGTACTACATGAAGCCAGAGAATATAAACAATACACATTTTGTTTTTTGCTCGAGTACTCAACGCGATTCAGAAAATACAATTTAACTGGTGCTAACGGGTCTTAAAATCAATCAGGCCGATTATGCCAAGATAACCGTTACATCTTTACGTTTGTTAGGTAAGCATGAAGATGGAAAAAATAAAATAAAAAGAAAAAAGAAGAAGAACAACAGAATTTTGAGATAAAATCTGGTAACGATGATACACATCTTTAAGATTTAAAAGTAAACGAAGTCTTAGGCTAAGAATTTGGTTTGTGTGTTCATAAGTCTTGTTCAAGCTACTTTTGTACAGGATACCATCACATCATCTCTCTTTCTCTCTCTCTTTCTCTCTCTGTCTTTCTCTTTCTCTCTGTCCCTTTTCCTTTCTCTCGGCGTAACAGTAACCGACACTACAGACATTTTCTGCCCATTCCATCAGATTTGACTTTCATTGTATTTTTAAGTAAATACATTTTGAAAACTATTACAGATGTACCTTTTTATTCTTCACTAGCGGGTGAAGGAGAATATCTCTTCCCATTTAGATTTAAAAAGTATTTACACGATGTTATTTTTCTATCGGTATATTTATGAAAAAATAAATAAATTATAAATAACGATTATTATGGGACACTATAATTCTTACTTCCATATCATTTATAATCCATATTAAACCTAGAGTATATATATATATATATATATATATATATATATATATAAATACTATTCATCGCGTATTATTAGTGATTTTAACAGTTATATGTATAGTATGTATGATTTTTTATATACGCTTTTTAAATGTCGTATGTTTTAACTAACATTTATAGTTCTTGTCTATTTGTATAAATAGCATTCTATTGATAACATTAATAAATTTGTTTTTAAGATTGAATAATGTAATTGCAAGTAAGATATGATTCGATATATTGCAGTGTTTATTATTGATAGTTGATTATTTAAAAAGTAGAACGTTTTTCACATTATGCGATATTTATAATTCATTCAGATAATTATACAACAATGATATATATATATATATATATATATATATATATATATATATATATATATATATATATATATATATATATATGTAAAGAAAGTTTACTTTCTGTGATTTAAATTTGCCGCGCTTTCATAGATCCGCGCGCCTTCGATAATAGGATCGTTAGGTTAGTGAACTGGGAAACATAGGTGGGGATAAGAACAAAGCCTAGAAGAAGAACGAGCTCAGTCCAAGAAGAAAGACCAATAAGAATAGAAGTAAAAAGGTAGATAGATAGAATATTATAAAGACATAAAGAATAAATCTCAATTGTTGTTTCTCTCGTTCACAGGTAACTAATAATTGTTAAATTATTTTGTACATATCATATTTCATATTTTACCGTAAATGTCATAATAATTTAAGCTATTGTACAGTAGTACATACAACTTTGATTATGTGACAAAAATCTACGATAATATGAGACTAGTACGATAATTGTACGATAATTTTAAGTAAGTTTAATTGATAATATTTCGTATTGAAATATTTTTATTCTCCACTGGTTTGAAACATGCAGCGCCTCACCAGCATACTATTATTGTTCTCTAATGAGAATAATACTTTCATGAAAATTTTCCTTACCGACGTCATCATCTCATTTTTTTAATTAGAAATTTGAATAACTTGCTGTGCGCGCGCGCCTTAATTTCAACCAATTAGAAATCGGTATGCAAATTTGTTAAAATATATTTTCAATTTTATTGAAATATTAAATTACCCCATAGATTTAAAAGTAACATGAAACGACATCTACAATTTTCAAATATACTAGTCTAATGTCAGTGCTGTACAATATGTAATATGTAACCTGTTTCTATCTAATTAACAGATATTTATTTAACACAGAAGTCTTCATTATTTTTTACATTTTTCAATAAAAAAAGATTTGTAACTTAATTACAACAGTAATGAATCTGCCAAATAAACATTTAGATTATAAAAATTCAGTCAATTATTTAGTTAAATTAAAAAATGTTATTTATGCGTACGATTATTTTTCGGTAAACCCGACAATTTTACGGCACTGTGTTGATCAGACGGGCTAAAGTCTCTGGGAACATTGATAATAAAAAAGAATTTAACCGTCCTTTTGAAACGATAATTCAAACGAGAAATGTTCGCTTACATATACAKATATATATATGTATAACATGAAATATATATTTTCCTTATTAAATATTTGAACAACTGTAAAACCTAAGTTTTTTTCTTTTATTTCTTTTTTTAACAATAATTGTTATAAAATTATTAAAAGTTGTAATTGATTTGAATGAAAAAGATTGAACTTATTATTTTCGAAAAATGGCAATTATTTAAATTATATAAAAATAAAAAATATACATTTATTTTATACGCTAATATGTATTCACACATTTACATAGCCATAAAATTGAAAAAACATTTTTTGATGTTTAACAAATTTTTGTTTCCTATACACAATGAGATTGTGATTAATGTTAAATTGTTGAGAAATGATAATTGTATTGACTTGTTGATTACACTTCTCGGAATTTTATGATGTTTTCGTGCATGATATAATTGATAACGTCGTGTACATTTGGACTTTGTAAAATTTCAAAAAAAAAAAAAAAGAATAGATCAAATAGACATGTTTAAAGTAACAGTACAATGTACAATGTACTATTATATATTGAGTACGTTAAATTGTTTGATGTTTTTATTTTCATAAATAATATGTTTGATTAGTATGCACGATCAAGTGTGTTTCAATATGTTTCATCATCAACTTACATTTTACTGAAATATTATTTTTGTTTTGTTTTGTTTTGTTTTGTTTCAAAATTTGTCTTGATTTTATTAATATAGAGATCTCTTAATATTTTCACACAAAAATATTATTCCCGTTATAAAAAATTATTAGTTTGTAAAAATATCATTTATCTAATAATCATTCATTGTAATATTATCACAGTTGTCAATTTGATTTTGTTTTTTTAAATTATTCAAATAATTTTCATATTCACATAAAAATGTGATATACATATATTACAAATGAACAAATTTCAATCAACTTTGTATAACAGTTAAATTCACGATTAACACATTGACTGCCGTTATAGGTCACCGGTGATCTCTCAACACGACCAATAATAAAAATACATGATTGGAGTAAATATCGATATTGATAAATTTATAAATAATACCATTGTTTTTATAAAGGTTTGAAGAAAATAATGGCATACAAAACATGCAACGATTATTTTATAATTACAAGGAAAATATGCGTGACGTGTAAACGACGTTTTTTCTGTATGTAATTGCTTGAAAGAAAAAAAAAAAAAATACAATCTTCATCATCAGAACATTTCATTAAAAACATTGCAAACTTTATATCCTAAAATCTTGAATTAAAATATCTTTCGAGTTACTACTTGTTTGTATAACATCATTTAATTTACAACAAAAGTAATCACAGTAAAGTTCTATTGCCAATTTCTTGTAAAATATTATTATAGTTAATCGCAATGATAAATTATAAGCCATCATTTGATCAGACAAATCAACTATAGATTTTCATAAATTATAATCTATTACCATTTTTGAACAGTTTGAAACAACTGATGATTACAAAAATTGTCTACAGTGTCTTGAGGATCACCACCAGTGACCACACCACAAATAATGCATTAAACAAAATATGCATCCCATAATAAAAAAAAGAATTCATGTAGGCACCACGGGCAAATATCACGTGAAACGTGCGCGGCAAGTCAAAGTGTTAATTTTAGCCATTATCGATCATCAGCCATTTTCATAAAATTCTCATTAAATTGTAGCTGATTTGGTTTATACATATATGCAATATACACATATTTCATTTGTCATTTTTATGTGACAGATGAACGCAACGTCAAAATATCGTTGTCATGGGAGACGTGACTGACTACCGATAAGGGTTAATATATTTATATATTGTATTAATATATTTAAACTAGCGTGATAATCAGCAACAAGGTAATACACTTCTTGTAGTATTTACAATATCTCATCATTGCACTTAGTATCGTAAATTTGGTCATTAAAAAAAAAAAAAAAATTAATATTTATGTACAAAACATAAAATACAACCTTACTTCATAAACAAGAAATATCACCAAAGTCAATTTTTATAAGCTGATTTTTAACACATGCGGAACTATTTAAGTGTCATCGTTTTTGTTATGTCTGTATATATCATTTAAATCACACAATTCTTGAATAGTATTTTTTGTTATATTAGTGTAACTGTCAGTCATGTTATTTTCTCCAACATTGTCCGTTTCCAATTTAACATTATCGTTTCCTTCCTCCTGAAAAATGATATTTGAATAATTTTATAATATACAGTTATATTTATTTATTCTTATTTACATACCTTTAAATCTTCTGATATTGATAGTCCACTTAATAAATTTGTGGACAATTCGGTATCAAAAGTTTCGAATTCTCCTAATCCTGCTGTATTTAGAGTCAGATCAAAATACTGCTGATTGATACCTAAATCCGTAGCTAAATCTATCTTATCTAGATTACCTATAGAAAACAAAAAACAAAAAACAAAAAAACAAGTACAAACAACGATATATGCATATTTGACAATAATGACAAAACCAAAAACAAGAATAGAGTAAATAATGTAGAATAAAGTTTTTAATATATGAGGGCTACGTTTTCAAAAGAAACAATTTTGAACATTTGTTCGATAAATTAGTACTTACCCCGTAAATTTTCTCATCATACAAATAATTTCATAAATAACAATGAAACTATGTTTTAGCTTTTTTTTTTTTTTATACATTTTCCAAATTATTTTTTTTTGAAAACAGAGCCTTCTATTTAAAAACTTAACTCTACATTAATCAATTTATTTTTTTTTTTTTCACTAAGAATTCGGTTGTATCACTGTTACTGGAAAATCCTGTAAAAAAAGTATGTATAAGTAATTTTACCATTATTATATATAGGTTCCAGGCCAGTATTTAAATGTTTCGATGTAACTTTGCTTAATATCATTTGGTCTGTATTAGACAAATTACTTTCTTGTAAAAATGAATATTGTTCTGGAACAGATATTCCAACTGAAGGTTGTTGTGTCATATTAGAACTTGATGGTTGATACGAAGGAGATAGATGTGTTTGTGCCAAAAGTGGATTATATGAATTATATTCCATAGGTGACGCAGTTCGACATGGTGAAACTTGAGGTCTGTAAGATAAATCCAATATTAACGGTGTCAAATTTAATATTATAAATAATACAAATGTTACATTAAAGTACTTTAGATTATATGAACCGTATTCCATAGGTGATGTAGCTCGACCTGGTGAAACTTGAGGTCTGTAAGATATATTTAGTATTAACAGTATATAATTTTATATTATATGAGAGAGTATATATATATATTATAAATTTATATATGTATATAAATAAATATTGTATTAAAGTACCTTAGTGTTTGCAAATTAGATAAAGGTTGAGATTGCAGTGGAAGTTGCTGCTGAGGCGTAGATTGAAGTTGAGGTTGAGATTGAGTTTGAGGTTGAGATTGCAACGAATAAGATCCTAAGTTTGTAGTATATCTTCCAAATGGTAATGGTCCCGCTTCTACTGGTTCTGGTTTGATAATATTGTAGTACTGAGCATTTTGATAAGCAGCTTCTGCAGCACCTATAATATGATGTAATTAATATACTATATTATACGTTATAAGATATAAAATATAAAATAAATTAAAACAATGCATAACAAAAATTAGACACACATGTATGATAACTTCGTGCAAACGGAGATTAAATAAAAGATTAAGCGTTGTACAAAACAAAACACACAATGGAGTAATTTTGTTATTAGAAATAACGAGCAATGTGTGAATTAATTGCGTCTATACACAAAATGTCTATTAATAACAAACACATTAATTAAAGTATACATAGGTGATATCAAAAATGAGTATGAGATAATAATTAAAATTTGTCTACGACAAAATTTGATTATATGTTCAATTTTGACATTGCATACTCTATTTGACTAACTTAATTTAAGTATACGATAATCACAAATATATATATATACAATTACACTAATAAACACAATTAATTATTATTGAAAACACTGTAGTAACGAGATATCCGTACCTGTCTTTCCTATACATAAGTGCATTTGATCTGAAATGTGTTCAACAGGTTTATGGAATAAATATACACAACATTTGATTGCCACTTAGTCATCATACATCTGTATAGATATATATATTATGTACTTTATACACATTATTCATATTATTTTGTTTACTCAATCGCTTTTTAAAGATAAGCATTCTATAAAAATTGCACTATACAAATATTGCACGTGTTTTTTTTTATTTTATGACTATATGTATATAGTAAAATCATTACAATGATGTTATTTAAAATTTTTCAAAACATCATTTTACAAGAGCAGAGCATTTCTTCAAAAATACGTATTTATTGTCACAAATCATACTAAAAATCAATGTTCACAAATATCCTTATGTTTTTTTTTTTTTTTTTTTATATCACCATAGAAATGCAATGATCTAAGCATTCTATATAATTTCACGTGTTTCTTTGCAGATACAAAAATACAATACACTTTTCTGAAAGTGCACAAAGTTACTATTTCTTACATTGCAAAGTACAAGTACAAAGGCTTATATAAAATACACTTTTAAAAAAGTACAAAATGAAGAAGATTGTTAATACATGAAAATATGTATGTATTTAATCTTGAATCCCTTTTCACTATGAAAATCGTTAGCAAGCAATTATACAATTGTTTTGTTTTAAATAGATTTATCACCCATTTTTATTGGAATTAAATGCAACTGTGATGATATTCTTTCAAAGTGAAAAGGAAACAATATTGTTAGTATATAATAAGATAACCATTGAATTCGTTTAATATTCTCAAGAATATAAATCTGCTGTTTTGCGAAAATTGCAGTGATTCACAATTTTTTTTTTTTTTTTTTTTTAGTAATTTTTCAAGTTTCTTATAACAATCAACAAATATAGAAAATAAATTGAGCAAAGAGCATTAAAAATAATCTTCTTTGGCTCCTTAGATCGTAAAATTATTTTTTCTTATACATACATACATACATACATATGTCTGTATGCGTACAAATATATAGACACAATCAATATTTTTTTTACATAGAAAATGAAGCAGTAAATGATTCATTATAAATTGTTTTTTTTTTACAGATATTTGAACATGTTTAAATGATAATGAATGACATCAATGATTTATCCAACCCATCCCCAGATAAGCTTTTAAATTGTTATAGATTTTAGAAAAATACTTACTCTTCTGAGCCTCTGCCTGTAAACCTCTCAAGAGTATCGCATTTGGGCTGTTATCAAACTTTTGTCGCTTTCGTTTTAATGACTCACTACTACCTAAAAAGTTTTTCATATTAACCATTAGTTATTACAATAAGAAAATGTAACTTTTTCAACAAAGGCCCCATATGTTTCGAAGTCCTATAAATTGTTCGTTAATATATCTTTTCTGTTAACAAATAAAAATCATATCTTATAAAATATATAAATACTCGTATTACATATAATTGAGTTTATAAAATCACAAATAATATAAGCAATAAAATAATTAGGATAAAATAATAAACAAGACCACAAAATTCCAGTAGTAGTATATACTGAACATAACAAGTTATAGCTACTAAGAAATATTAATAATCTGACAAATTTAATATCTTTCAACAGGACTATAAAACTTGACTAGATATGGTTTTTACTTTGTTTTCATAACAAACAACAAGCGTCATCATCGACGGCATTTACATTTTATGCCGTTTTCAAAAAAACATCATCTGAAAACTTATTTATGTAAAACGACACTTTTTTTTTTTTCCTATTTGTAAGAATAACAATAATGCCAGTATTTAAACCACTTAAACAATTGTGGTAAATATAATCAAATTATTTGACAATTTTTTGTTCATCATCAAGTTATATTATATCATAAAATGCATCATTGAAAGCAGAAATATTTTCTATCATTATTTCATGCTACAAAAATGCAATATTATTGAAATAATATAATCAAATCTTTGCCACTTTATGAATATTTGAAATATGATAAAGGAGGAAGGCATATCAAATTGATTAATTGCATTATACAGGTGACTTTCATATATAACACGGTTTGTTAGAATTTTACAATTCAAATGCAAATTCCTATATGAAACAAAGAACTGGTACAAAAAGAGAAGTGGTTAAAAAAAAATAAAAGAAAACTAATGTATTTTTATAATTAAAAGAAATATTTTTATGAAAGTAATTGCTCTAAGTTAATTTTAGTCAGTTGGTAAGGGACTTAGAGTCAATAAAAGATTAATTGTTATGATATTTTGATTATTGCATAAGACTGAGTGTTTTAAAAAAAGTATTCATATTTATATACGTTTATATATAAATATCTGTTAAACTTGTATATTTCTGTTATATTTGTACTTATATAAAGTCTTGTGTTTATTTTTTATCATCCTATCTCTATTCCCACATAACGTTTCATATTGTGCAGAAATTTCATTAATTTTCAAATCATGTAACCAACGATCTTGTTTTCTAAGAAGCCGTGTTAAACGGGATTTCCTAATATTTAAAAAAAAAAAAAAACAAAAACAAAAAAAAGATAAGAAACAAATATAAATAGGGTTAAAAAAAAATGTGTTAAAAATAAAATATTAAGATTCTTTTTCTTCCGTTAATATTTTTCCTCCCTCCACAGGACTATAATAAAAAGACATTTCATCGAATTCAGATGCTGTTGCATGTGGCGCCATAGTAGTATAAAGAGCATAATGTTCAGCTTCTGTTAAATCAACCCCATAAGGTGGTGTTTCATCACCTTCTAACGTAAGAGATTTACTAGTTATACTTGCAATACTATGTCTAGATATTTGCGTTGAAGAATTATCTTGAATATTTTTTAACAAAAACGAAGCATTCTCTTCTCCTGTATTAAATAAACGATTATTATTGTCCGTGGGTACATTGGAAGTTGTTGTTACATCCTTGTCTTTTTTCATTTTCTTTGCAAATAGTTTAGAAAAGAGATTTTGTTTAGATTGTTTGGGTAAGGTACCAGCAGGAAGAGAAGGTAAATTCTTGTTTGGAGCTTCAGAGGAAGATTCGATTATTGGTTGAGATGATGTAGGCCGTGGTAAAACAGGCATAGAAGACATTTTACGTATACGTTTAGGTGGTAAAGGTGGTAATTTTTCTTCAAATTTTTGTGTAACATCTCTTTTCGTTGCTATTGGCGAAGAAGACACTGATACGCATACGTCTTGTTTTGGTGTTGATACATCCTCATATTTTCTTTCATCAGGTATATCAAATAATTCTATTGGATTTTTCATAGCCATTTGAAGACTAGTATAAGTTTGATTATCACAAACATCAACATCCATGGATCTTTCAATCACATTTTGATCAAGAGTAGCTTGTAACAATTTCGTATGTGTATCAGCGTAAATTTGATCTAACTCTTCCACTTGGGATATCAAATCGTTTAACGATTTATTACCATCCTCCATTTCGTTTTTAATCTCAGCTGTATTTTCTTTCTCTTTAAAAGAAGCTTGATTTTTTTGTACCCACTTTCCTACTTCCGAATAGTCAAACCAATCAGATTTATTTTTTGAATTGACAATGTTTTTATTATTTAAACATTTTGTATCGTCGTTTGTTAAATTTAACTTTGTTTGAGAAATCATTTCTGATTGATTATCAAGCGTATCTCTATAATCGTTTGAAAATGTATTATTCTCTGTACTAATATCATTACCAGTGATATACTTATTGACTTGTACGTTTCCTTTAATCGTACTATTAGAGTCAATTGGCATTTCATTATTATCATAATCAATAGTATTATTTTTCATAAAACAATCAACATTTTTTACATTGTTTTGATCAATGTCAGTACTTCCATTGTAAGAATTTGTAGTATTTCTAATATTATATAAGTCATTTAAAGCACGTAGTACTGAAATTTTATTATTTGACTTTTTTGTGTCTAAACTATTATTATTATTATTATTATATTCATCAATATTACAAGGCACTTTTGGTACTACATTGGGAAACAATGTAGCCTCGGTCGTTAAAATTTTACCAAATGTACTGTAATCTACTTTTTTTCGAGCAAATGCTTTCCGCAAAGACCAGAAAGCAGGCATACCTGTATCCAATGGTGACATTTCAAATGGATGTGGTTCACTTGTCACACCATCTGATGGCCTCTTCAATTGGATGTAAATTTGTACTGGTTCTTCTATTTGTAGAAGACGGAAACTTGGGGTTTTAAACACGATCGCCGTCTAATTATAATAAATTATTTAATAGTAGAGAAATAAAGTATTAATCTTATAATAATAACAAAAGCATATTTTAATACCTGCTTGTGGACATCTGTGGGTGCGAAATCTCCATACCCTTCCCAAATAACATGTCCATTTTTTTCTTCAAAAAACCTAACTTGTATGTCTTCTTTAGCTACTTTTTCGCATAAAAGTATCATCTTCATACCTCCGCAAGAAGGAGCTCTATTATGACTTAAATGGTTGATCGAAAGGTCGGACATTGCCTCTATAATGATATATATATGTAAAACAATAATGAATAATTTTGAATATAAATAAATTAAAGAAAAAATAAAAATTACTTTTATCAAAAATAGGATCTGATACTACAGGTTGTAATGGATGAGTAAATTTTCCTTTTCGTGTTCCTTCTAAAAATACTTGAAAACATAGTCTCACTGCATTAAGATCGATGCTAGTAGGTTGTTTTCTATGTTCAAAACCAGCTATAATGATAAAAGCAATAATAATACATTAATAATAAAGTTAGTATTAAAACAAGTGAATACTTAGTATCTTGAAAAATTTACTTCGAAAAGGATCGACACGAATTTCTTCTCTGATTTTCAGTGCTTCCTCTATGTCTTTTTTCTTGACACATTGGATACCCAAATTAGCAAAAGTTACAGTCATGTTATCAGATGTAATTTCAAGCGTACAGATGCCTTGTTTACATGCTTCTTTGCCAACGAGATTATGGGGATGAGGTCTGTATGGTAAATCTTTTGTTACACAAGATACAACTACCACAGCTCGACCTTTATAGCCTACTATCTGTATGAAAGAATAATTTAACTTTTACTTTAGATAAAGTATTCATAATTTAAAAGAAACATTGTTTTCATTATTTCTTCTTGTTATTTTACACTTACTCTTATAGTAGGAAAAGTTTTGTTTTCCGGTGTACTGTTAACTCCAGGTATACTACCAGCAGATCTACCTTCACATTCATAACGAAAGCGCAAGCTTTTGCTTGCAGGTTGTTCTACTATCTCCACATAAGGTTGTGCCATGTGCTTTCTATTAATTTCCATCTTGTCTTGATCCATGTGTCCGTTAGATTCCACAAAACCAGGGTCGGTAGTTTTGATGACCTCGACTTCAAAGGAAAATCAATTGAAGTATATTATATAATCCACAGCTAGAACGATACAATAATTATGAATACTCACTGACATCACTTATGTTCAAGTTTTCATCGCTTATATCATGTTCCATGATAACTGTTAAACTTTTGATTTACAATAGTGAATTACGGCCATCTGACATATAGGGAACAAACGAAAGATAAATAAACTTTCATATTATTTTAAATCTCATTTTCTGCACTTAATAATAATAATAATAATAATACTTTACAAAAAGAAATATTAAAATTCTAGTATACGAATAAATAAAAAAGAAATTAATTGTCAATAATAAAAAGAAATTTGTAGGTTCTGTTCAGTGATCTTTCGTCTTATAAACAAATAAAATAAAAGTAATAGAAAATATGATATCATGGAAAGGATTAAAATTGGGATAGTATTAAAGAAGAAGCATGCAGCAAGAAACATACTTTAATCACCTACAAATTATAACCACAAATGACACTGACACTTCACGTTTTTTCTTTTTTTCGACACGATCAAAATATAATTGTCAATACGAATAAACTACTTTATCTAAATAAACATATTTTTTTTAATGAAATGTAACGTTTTATTTTTAAGAAAAAAGAGAAAAAAACAAACAAAAAAGTAAAAAATGTTAGAAGAAGAAAAAAATTCAACCGGTTAAAACAAGCTTCTATCAAAGACTGATAATAAACGAATCGGTGTTCGAACCCGAAGAAAAACGAACGGGAACGATTGAGAAACGTAATAACACGAAGAAGAAATGGCGCGCGACTGGATTTCCAGCTGTTCCTTGGAGAGAAATCGACAGCTGTTTTTACCAAATATTACATTCCTATGAGAATTGGATGCAGCTTACAAGTGTCTCACGAGAAAGCGAACAAACGAATTAAGGATGAGAAATAGTAGGGAAGAAGTAGGAAGAGAGGGGTTGGTTTCTACGCTGAGCCAATCATTATTTTGGGAAGGCCTAGGACCGTACGGGTACTGCAGCTATTATTAAACTATCGTAGGACAATATGAGGAGACTTGCCTGCAGTAAGATCTTCTACATCGTTAACGGCATGCACGTTCGACAGAACTTCTTTCTTTCTCTCTCGCGCGTAACGAGAGAGAGAGAGAGAGAGAGAGAGAGAGAGAAAGAGAAGGAAAAAGAGAGGGGGAAAAAGAGTAAATTAAACAAGCGCGGGGTTCATTTGTTCAATTTTTCCCTCTTTTCCAACCAATAGTTTCTCTCTTCTTCTTTTTTTCTCACTGTATGATTTTCCGAAGAATGAATAACCCTTTCTTACATTCTGATGCACTATACACTAAATAAACGTACGATAAGAGTTAGCACACTATTTTAATCGAGATTTAATCGATTTTTTTTCCTCTTCTTTTTCTTTTAATTACAATCGTTCTTTTTAAATACGTTTTAAATACGTTTATCGTTTTTAATATATATATATATATATATACGTATATAAGTGTAATTTATTTTTCATTAAGAAACAAAATGGTTGCAATTGCACATTTGAACACAACGATTAAAAAAATATTATTGAACAAAGAGAAAATTGAGCGTGAACGTTTTTAGAAACGAATTGTACGGTTAGCGGTACGACTCTGCTTATGCTGCTTTTCAACACTACAATGATGAGAAGGAAGAACTCATTGCGCAGAAGAAGAGGGGATTGTTCGAGTTAAATGAGGAGGGAAAGGGAAAAGAGGAGAAGTATTGCGAGAAGAGAAGAGAAGAGCGCGTTCGTTATCGTCGCGCCTTTCCGTGCCGATTCCACGCCTTCGAGCTTGATCGGAGATATTCGGCGAATCTTAACGAAGATGTACGATCAATCCTCGATTTTACCCGATCCCGTTTACTCCTTTCGTTTCTCCAATCTTTTCCCTGTTTCCCAACGAGATAATCGAAATTTATAATCGATCGAGAGAACGTACCACTCATTCGGCGCGTGCAATTCTAAGAAGGGATTGCCTCCAACACTTTCTACGAATTGTATTAATCCTTTTATGCTGCCATTAAACACGTCCTCTTTACATTTATCTCATTGTCAATAATAACAACGTAAGATCAAAATTAATTTTTTTTTTGGTTAATTGCTTTTTCTTTTTTTTTTTGATTTGATGATACCAATTTTTCAAAGCTCTCGAAAAGTGACAAAATTATATATATATATATTAGATATTAGATATGATATATAAATAATATATAAATATTTTGAAATTCCTTCATTTGTAAACTGTTGTATAATTGATCCCTTTTCATTTGTAAGTTTCTCATTTGACCTTGACTTTTTATCAAGGTCAGAAAATTGAGCGCGAAGCAAACGCGAAGTTTCGCAGAACATAACCTTTGTTAAATTGATCCGCGATTATCATCGATTTTTACTACACGACTTAACTTATTCACAATACTTGATTTTTTGTTTCGTTTACTTTCTGGTATTCATGTTGTCCGCTTTGAATCAGGTTTGTGTGATGTATATATATATATATACATTTGTGTTATTTATTTATAAAAACATTTATAATGATAGATACTCTAGGAAGAAGAGCATATGTAACTCATAAAATGATTGCATTGATTATTGTCACGTAATGTTTAGAATTTAATAGAGAAGCTTTATACTTGAGTATGTACCTGAATTCTCGCGTGTACAATGATGAGTAATACTTTCCATACACTTCCTGTATATAATACAATACAATATATATTCAGATAGGTATATACAGGTGTATACAGGTGTATACAGGATATCTTAGCAAAACAGAAGATTAACAAAATCTATTGTTTCAGGTACGTTTAGGGTAGAGATTATTTGCTTATTTGCCCTGATTATTAGCATTATAACATTTAAAATAATGAACTAGTGGATCCATGTGTAACATGGATTTCACAAAATATTGTGGAATTTTAAGAAAATAATGATTTTATACAGAATGCGTTTAATGACAAACATTTGTTAGGAAAAATCGATTTTTATAATCGTCCGTTTCTGTGCTGTACCTTGTGTATGCATATTATTATATTCATGTATATTCAAATATCTTAAGGAAAAGAAAGAGATTGGAAGATTGAAATAAGTAAAAAAATTATATACAGGGTGGAATGAAATTCGCGCACTAATCTAATTTATTTTAATTTAGTATTTAAATTACTTAACCCATAATCGATGTTCACATTTGGGGTATGATTTTAGCTGACTTTGTAAATTAGGATTAACTGTAAGTGTATAATTATTCGAACTATTATTTTGAATATATTAAAAAGAAATATCTCTGATGCGTTTATTTTTATTTGTAAAACATTTGATGTGAAGTTGGAAAAATTCAATCACGGTATGGGAGATCAAAATAACGTTTTTCGTTTTTCTTTTTCAGAAATAAGTATATAATACATCCCGTAACCATGACAAAGAATAACGAAAGAAACAATCTCGATCGCCAATGCGAAGAGAATTTCATTTGCAAAATAATTACAAGAAAAAAGAAGCAATGCCAGAAATAACGCTCTTCTCCGCGAGTAATTCGCCTATTCTACACGCTCTAGCGAGTGCCAGTAAGGAAAATAATCCTTCTGGTTCCTCGGTAACAGTAAATCTTAAACAATGTGTAAGGCATAAGCTTCAATATTCACAATTGCCTATAAGATGTCAACGAACGAACCCATACTATAGACCCATCCGTAATCCCTTCAAATTAGTCGGACTAAGTGCAATTAATCATAATAACGCTTCTATTGTAACAAGTAAAAGCTGCCCAGATAGTAGTCATACTAATTCGACCTGTTCTTCACCAATTTTACGAGCGATCGGTCCATCAAGCTGTAGAAAAAGTTTATCCATGACTGATTTATCACCTACAGCTATTGATTCAGAGACAAATGATTTCAGGTAAATAAATTAGGTACTTAAAATAACTTTCTAATATTGTGTCATCTTCAACGTTGTCGACGCCATGTTGAATGTCGACATTATTGACGCCATGTTTGAACAACGATACTATTGAGGCCATATTTAACAAAATTTATTTGTTATATGTATTTATATATTAAATATTATTCATTTTATAGATCAGAGAGTAATTCGTCATTAGGACTTCGTGAAGATCAAGGAGAACGTAACAAGGACAGCGTAAGGACTGGTAACGGTGTCCTAAGAATTGGACATCGAACATGGACAAATAATTTTCTGTCTACGAACATCGAAGTGGATGGAAATTGTCTTTCGCAAAATCCGGGAAAAGCTGCGAGTATACTTTGTCATGTATTGGTATTAAATGCTTGGAGACGCAGACGAGCTGATGTTGGCCAGCTTCAAGAAACGATTGATGATTTAACCCGACAGATTGAGCATCTACGTTTGCAGATCGTTGTTCTTCGGCGTTTGCTTGACACGGAAAATGACCGTGTTAATAGATTAAGTAAGGAAGCTCAGCGTTCTAAGACCCAGATCGAAGAATTATCTCAAGAACGTGATGTTCTTAAAAAGGTAAAATAAATCATTTATTTACCTAATTATTAACAAGTTATTTAAATAATTCATTAACCTATTTATCCAATCATAAGCAATAAAATATATTTAATTTTACACTTATTTATTTGTCAAAGTAACTTGAATCGAGTTTGAGATTATATAAAGATTAAATTATAATATTGTTTAATGTTCTTGCTGAATATCAGGGTTTCATCATTTCAGATTGTATTTTGTAGGTTGATGTAAAACAATAAATTAACAGAACAGTTTTAAATCGCGATAATACTTTTATATTAGGACCAAAACATCATTAAAGTCCTTCGTATAAGACCCAAGAAGTTTATAGTTGCGCAGGTTTCATTTGGATAAGTTGGAGAATATGTAGCTAGCAGGTGTGATGTATGTGTGAAAGCGTGACACCCTCCGCTCTCGGCGAATACGAGAGTTCAATGACGTGTTTCTAAGTAGGGGGATGACGCTACCGAGAGAACTTGCAAGGCACATTTTAGCCATGCATCGAAAAGTACATCTCAAAAGCTCATCATGATTTCCTTTCTTTGATCTTTTCGCAATCATATTTAATTGCGGTGATAAATTATTATTTTAACCATAACATAAGTTTTTTGAATTCAACATTTTTGCAGTATTTTTTCTCTATACCTATACATTTATTTATATATATATATGCATATATATTTATATGCTTTTTTTTTGTATATTACAATAGAAAAATCAAATTTGATAATAGAAATACAGTTCGTTTCTCTTTTCGATAGTCGTAAATAAATATATTCGTGTCACTGGTTTTCCTCTCTTTTTCTCTTACGCTTTGTATGCTTACATCCACGTTCACGGGTTTCGGCCACGGATACGTGTGGCCAACGAATTCAGAGCATAGGGTGCTTACACAAGCGAGTATCTGGCACTATGCCAGCAGCTAATTATGAAACGAAAGAGCTACGTATACCGTACGGTGGTTGCTGTTTAGTTCACCAGTGGTCACAGGATTTTATCTCTGTAGACTATGCTACATCTGACTTTTCATATATACAATTATTATTATTATTATTATTTATTTCGAGATATTTTTATATACGAATACAGTTGAAACATGATCCCTTTTATCTTATTATCTGAAGAAATAAAAAACGTTAGAATTCAACGTTAACGTAGTTATATTTATTTATAACTATAAACGCGAAATAAATTTTTTTTTTTATTTTCAGGAAAAAGATAAATTGAAAGAAGAAGTTAAATGCTTAGAAGATGCTTCGGAAGAAAGATCGGTGACAACAGAAAATCTTAGGAACGAATTGCTCAATGCCCAAAATCAACTTCAAGCATTAGATGGACAAATAGCAAGAGATCGCGAAAAATTGTTAAAATTACGAGAGGAAAAGAGGATTCTTTTGGATAAGGTTCATTAAAATTCAATCTAGTTAAACATTTTTATTATATAATCTATTGATTACTGATAAGACAAGCACTAGTGAGGTAGTTTAGTAAAGAGCTTCATCATATAAATCCCTTTATCTTGCTAGGATGTAAATGAAAAGTGGTTAATACTAGTTTAGTAGTAAGGGCCTTTGACTTGTTCATAGTAGGTTGTTACCAATGCAAAGCTATCGAATGAGTCATGCATCTACTCAATGAAGGCTGATCTAGAGCGAGGGTGGATTCTCTCTTTTGATTCGATGCGAATTCTTATTTTTTTTCTAAGAAACAATGACTCACTCTCTTCACCCTCTCGATTTCCAACGAAATCCTGTATTTTTTTTGTTAAGGGCTATGCCATATTTTATACAAAAGTATAGAATATAGTAAAGATTTGTTTTTCTCGTGTAATATTTCATTGTTTGCCAAGTCATTATTAATGTGATGATTCGTTTTACAATTAAATAATTATACTAAAAATGCAAATGTGCAAATATAAGAAATGCAATATGTTTTTTGAATGAAATGAAATAAAATTTTCGTTAGTTAGGTCAACGTACGACGGGGTCGTAGAGAACCTCTGAGTCATACTCTTTGTGTTTCGTTGCTGACTCAATACCGCGTAATACTCTTTGGGTACTAGGAAAAAGGATCGATATTGCTTGCCCTATTAATTCTTTTACGTTGTAGTTTATTATTGTTGGTTAAATTTTGCTATATATTAACGTGCATTTTTTTTTTCGAATCATAACAACCATCTTGTTATATAACAATTAGGAATAATTATTGATAATTGAAGCTGTGAAAAGATAAAATTTAATAACAAACACCATCCTCGCAATATTTTATATGAATAATTTAAAATAACATTTTCCTTCTTTCTATTGTTTAATTTTTCAAGAAGAACAAGTTCATTCTCTCTTTCTCTTTTACTCCGCATAATTTTAGATATCCGCAAGCGAAGCTTTAGCTACAGAACGTGGTAGCAGAGCAGATAGGGCTGAATCTGCTATTGAGGATTTGCAAATTCGATTGGCTGCACAGATCGCACTTGTTGAATCTGCACAAGAACAGAATCAACGATATGCCAAGTATGCTGTTAATAAATTTAACTTAACAAATAATCTTACTATATATTTTAATAATCAATCATTGTTCGTATTGATAAATATTTATTATAACAATTTGTAATTGAAGTCATTGAATTCGTAATCCATTGTCAAATGGAATGTTGACGAAGATAAATTATTATTTAAATATTGGCCTTTGATTTATTATTTAGACAATTAAAGGACACGGAAGATGAACGAATGAAATTGGAGAAACAGTTACGATCGAATATAGAGGCGGGAAAAGCTTTAAGCTTGCGTGCTAATATTCTTGAAAGTCAACTGGCCGATAAGGAAGCTGCCTTGCATCGTATTGAATCAATATACAACTCGCAACTGTAAGGTTTAACTTATCTCAAGTAAACAATAAGATTGATTTTTGTATAATAAAAAATATAATTTTATTTATTTCCACATAAGAATGGAACTGAACGGATTGAAGGAACGTTTGATCAGACAATCTCAAGAAGGAGGATGGAGCAGTCGAGTATTACAAATTGCTGGAAGTGTTGTTCGTGCACCACGAGCTATACTGCGTACTCTATCATTTTTATCTAGTACTACTGTACCATCTTAATCGTTATCAGGTATGTTATTATTTTGTATTTTATTGAACAATTTCTCTCATGAATTAATAACATCTTTTTTTCTTCTTTGTCTCGTCGTTTAGATAAAATTATATATCATATAATTAATTTTCTTGATCAATGATTAACATTTATAGTTCAAGTATGATTGAGGATCACATTGAACGTCACTGAAGATATCAATGTCAATGTTAAAAATGTTCGAATTTAGCGATCAGCTGCTTTTACCTTTTGTTGATCACGAGATGAACTCTTGCGGAAAAGTTATTGCACACTACGGGGAAAATACAAATAATGGGTCTCGTTTAAAAGAAAATTTGCAAGTAAACTCGTCAGAAGAAATATTGTTTAATTATATTTTTACTTTTAATATTTATTTATTTATTTTTTCTTTTTTTTTTTTTTGGAAGTAAACAAATTTACTCGCTGTAGGAAAGAATCGATAGTTTTATAATCAAGGATATTTCTAAAATAAAATAATAGTGCATGATTATTAATATATACAAATCATGTGGAATATATAACGGTAGGATATATAGGATTATTTAGAATGTATACAAATAAATAAATAAATAAATACTCGTTATATGCTTTTTAATCTATAAGTTTTACACTTCTTTCTTTCGCGCATTTTGATAATCTGATGAAAACAAAATATTGTCAACCCCCAACCGCTAAGATAACGATGCGTGATTTGTCTGTTTACCCGAAGACGAAACTATTAATTATCTAGATTCGAGTTTGTATTTAATAAGTATGATTATCGCGTGTCATTACGATTTCTTGATTATTATTATTATTATTTTTGTTCGTAGTTCTTTCTCATGTATGATGAGAATCCTGGTGTTTTTCGACAATACAATTAGCAAAGCAATTAGAAGAAAGCATAACTTGGAATATGCTCAGCGACATTATGCTATAGTATTTTGTTTATATTAGAGAAGACTGGTGTGTTTATTAGAGTTAATTTGAATGTCAAGCACAACCACGTGCAAGTGTCATTGCTCTTTGGAAATGTACGATCATATTTTGCATTGCTATGGTTTTTCTTGTTTTAAGTACAAGATTGATTTAAAGCATCATCCACGACAGGTCTAAGTCAGATTCGTCAAATTTCTTAATTATTTCATTGTATCTTTTTGGTATTTATGTGTATGTGTATGTTTCATTTCATTTCATTTCATTTTATTTTATTTTATGATAGTCTTGTGATTAAGATCTTTCTATTTTCGTCATTTAACTTGACTCGTGTAGTACAGTGGAAGATTGATTAAAAAATGGGTTTTCTTTTCTTTTTTTTTTTTCTTTTTTTTTTTTATATATCCTGAGTATGGTATTATGTATTATACAATTCTGAATGGTATATAGTCTTGAGAAATAAATTTATTTTTTGAGTGGTAAGGGATAACATAATATATGTTAGTTTATCTGCAACGGCACGGCACGACAATCGTGATCGTGATATTTTCTTCGATAAGTAAAACTTCTTATAAAACCCGATCCACAGGTCTCGATAGAAAGTAATAAGTATACTGTCGATATTAAGAAATTTTATTCTTTTACCGCGAAACTCGCGTATGTACGCACTAATTAACGAATGTTGTAGAGTATACTCTAAATGTACAATCTAAACATTGTCTTTTGCCTTTGGCTTTGATTATACACTGTGATTGCTTTTGTTCGTAATTGAGTATATATATATAAAATATAATAATAAAGAAGAGGAAAATAATTAATAAGATATGAAACGATTGTACAAATTAAGCGAAATATTTTGTATCTAATTTTTAATACAAAATTTCGTTTTATATGTATATATAAAACAGTAGTACCGAGTACATAAAAATAAGTAAAAGAAAAAAGAAAAAGAAAACAAAAATTAAAATCACTAAATGCAAAGATTCTATTATCTTTTTTCTATAGTTTTTTCCCTTTTTTCTTTTTTTCTTTTTTTTTTTTGAATCAATAACAATTAATACGATACTTTTTTTTTTTTTAAAAGTCTACGATAATATCTACAAAAAAATACTATGTTAAATATCTCAGTTTTAATTTACAATAATTCCTGTGCAAATATTGTTAATATTTTGCAAGTTGAATTATGCTGAATCTTATGGCTCGAGTAACGAAACATGTTAATGTATTCTTCAACAATACTTAGAATACCTTACTTATACTAAATTTGGTTTTGAAAAATTCAGCAACCTTTTTCACTTATGATGGAATTATAAATTGCTCTCTTATGTTTTTTCTTTTTTTTTTTTTTATTTTTTTTTTTTAAGTATATAACGGTTTTTTTTTTATATATAAAAAACGTTACCACAAGCCATTAATTGCGGCATGTTCTTACGCTTAAATTTTGATGGTCATTAGCAAAACGTAAAGATTTGTTATTTAATAATACTTTAAACGTGTCTTACGTCTTTAACGAAATGCAGTTAATAGGTTCTTTAAGAGTATAAAAGCTTAATTATGAAAAGATATTATTGAAAATAAACGTTGAAATGTAAATGAATATTTGTTATCAAATAATACAAAAAAAATAGGGCCACAACATACATTTCTTCAATTTTTTAACTGGACAAATTATATCGACTAGAATAGACTAGAGGTTAATGTGTATATGTATGTATGTATGTGTGCATGTTCAGTTTTATTTTATATAGCTCTTTTATTTTTTTTTCGTTAGATCATACCAAAACCTTCGGTACCTTCACTGATTGCTAATAACAATGCTCGTTCAAAATGATCGTAGCACTCGTAATCGGGCAAGCAAAGTTGATTGAAACTACAAAATAAATTTGAATATATATAGATTTGTTTGTTTAGTTAATTGTAAAATGAATTTTATTTTCATAGTACATACCACGTATGAGCTGTCGGTAAATTGGCAAATGTCGGTGCTGCTGTTATTTGAAAACGTGGGCTGAGTTGTTGAAATCCGCCAGGTGGTAATTGGGAACAACCGGTAGTAAACTGAAGTAATCGTGCCATTTCTTCTCGCGTAAAATTACTTACTGCTGTCCAAAACCAATCGAGGACACGTAGAAATTCTGGAGAACTTCCATTAGCTATGTGATGTGCTCGTAAATCTGCTACATTATATTCACCGGTCCCACATAACAACAACTGTATAAACAAATTTTATTTTATAGAATATGTACAATATTAAATTACATTGGTATATATAATGTATTGATCCGTACTTCTAATTCATTTTCATCGAATATGCCTAATAAGTTGTCTGGAATGAGTTCGTTGAGGCCACGTAGAAAGTGATCTACTTCATTACGAATTGAACTAGCGAGTCTGTGCTGCGCTAATGCATCTAAATATCGAAGTTTCGTTTCATTGGTAACGCGTATTTTACTACCACCAGGAATTAATTCTGCTACCTAGAAGAATAAAGAAAGATGAGTTGCATTGATTAGATATGAATTGAAGTTCCTAACTCACTTTTAATAATTGACCATCCTTATCATATTCCTCTTCAACAAAATACAATTCCATTTCTTCCACGTCATTCTCTAGGATGTATTTCACTTTACTCAAGTATAAATCCGGGTCATCTTGTTCGAAATACTACAAAACGAATCGTTGAACAACGAGAGTAATGGAATTTTTTCAAGCAATTTAAACAGTTTTAAATTTGTACAGATACCTTTACCTTATAATGCACTCTAAGACCTATAATTTGTGCAAGAAAAGATCTTGTAAATCTTGCTCGTACCAATTGTCGATACGATCCACCAAGTGCCGATTCGTATAAACATTTGCCGACTATGCGACCAGCGAATTCGTAGTGTTTTAATTTAAGATGAGCAGGCCGTTTACTGTTAGGATGTACTAAAGCTTGCTGAGATTCACCAAATGATGCAAACAATCCATTTCCTGGATCAAATAGTGCCGCGCATATCAATTCGAACCATTCACGGCGTACTCCACCCCAGTCAACTCCTACATTTTACAATAGCGATGTGAACAATATTAAGTTACAATATTTCTATACATTTCTGATATTTATTGATTGTTACCTTGTTCGCCTTGAAACGTTATCTCAAAGTTTCTACACCAATCGCTAACTGAAAATCCTTTTGTAGCTTTCATCGACTAAAAATAAAATAATAGAATGCAATCCCACCATAATAAAAAAAATATATATTTATCTATAGAAAATGTTTGTAATAAGAATGGTTTGAAAGAATTTTTGCAATTACCGACTCTAAAAGTTTGTCTCGTTGTACTTTCATCGATAGCTTCTCGTGATAATATTTCTGGTGATGTTTTCGAACTTCGTGATAAAAAAAATCTTGCTTATCGGCGAAGGTTTCGCTACCGCCGATATTTTTAAGAAGAAACAATGTAAAGGTAGCGGCTATTATGTCACGATATAAAGAAATTAATTCGACAGGTGGCTGACATCCGTCGTCTATCGAAAACGAATGATATCCCTCGTGTTGATTGTTCGTACAGTCAAAATGAAACTGAAAAACAAAAATCATATGCTGCAATTCATTTTTATGATAAAAAATAAATTTTTTCAATTACATTATATTAATTTACAAATATTGATTCATAATTGTCGGCATATATAATATAATGTTTACAGCGTTTAAAAACTTACCTTAGTTGAAGGACATAATCTAAAAGTAACGAGTCTTTTAGGAATGAACTTTAACAAATATTCCTTGATCGTTAATTGCTTTGGTGATATATAACAAAAGACCTTTTTTGGCTTAGAGAATCTTTCACCTTGCATACCTAATAATTTAGCAACGTAGCATGTATCTGGATCTTTGGAAGCAACATTACTGTGAACCATTCTTGCAACGGAACCTAAAAAAAAAAAAAAAAAAAAAAACAAAAACAAATAAGAATAAAAAATAATATAAACATACAAAAAATGCATATATAATCATAAAACAATATAATTTGACATACTTTCCAGAACGATAATGTCGAAGTCTCCATTATGTAATTGTAATCCTGCGAGACTAACGGTCGCATGATAACAACCACCTTTCGGAAAACTAACTTTCAATCGAACTCTCTGATTTGGAGAATCGTAGTCAAGATGAATTGAGTAATCTATAACCGATCCTTTTTCCGCAGGATTACCTATCTGCTGTTAAAATATTCTAATAAATATCATCTCTTAATAATCCAACGAATATCAATAATATTTTCACTTGCCTGAATAATATTGACATCGTATCCTTTAGTGGGTTTATCGCCAGGGCCAAATACGCATAAGTTATTATATTCGTCTCGTGGTTCTATTGTCATTGAATGTGCAATACCAGCTGTACAAACGACCGTAGAACTTTGACGTACGAAAACGGTTTTATTTGGATCTGGAGGTCCTATAGAGGAATGAAAAAAAAAAAATGAAAATCAAAATAAAAGAAGAAATCAATTTGAACATCGATCATTTTGTAAATACAATTATGTTTTTACCAGGCAGAAAATTTTTAAGAAATGGACTCCCATGAACGTGACATGATCCAATAAGTACAGCTATTTTGTATTGTCCAGCATGGCGGACGGTGAACTTCACTACTGCAGTATTTGCAGCTAAAGGATCGGTACCTCCTAATTCTATTAGAGTAGCTACTCTCCGCGAGCCTTCTGTCACTTCCACAATGAGATTATCTTTGTCGCAGATCGGATATGGTTGACCATTTCGTTGATAGAACTAAAGAAAATAATATTTAGAAAAGAATGTTGTTTTTCGAAGGAACAACGCAAAACAACTTATTGCATCTTTTGTTTACCTTTACAGTAAAAGTCATTGTTTCTCCTACAAGTTGTGGTTCTTCCCACTCAAAATGGACACGACAGTTGCTCGGTAATAAATATTTTCCAGTAACATATTGCAAAAGGGAGTGCTTAGCTTCTGGTGCTAATGCTGGTTGTGTCATAGCAGCTAAAGTAACTAAACCAGCTACTGACACGGATACTACTAACATTCCACCTGAAGAATGTTCGAAGATAAGGATAATGATAAAGAGTAGATAAAAAAACAATAACAATGAGACAGATTATAAAGATTTAGATGATTCATATTAATGTTGATGAGATAACAAAAGCAGGAAGTATGATCATCAATGATAAACAATGCAAAAGATATAACGTTTAATCAAATATACCCCATGTCCAAGCGTCTTGGTGTTGACTGTTTTTTACAACGGCACTCCATAGATCTGCTTTCAAAGTTTCTAAATCTCGTTTCGAAGTAGGTAACGCCTGTCTGGCCTGAATCCATCGTTGTAGGTCCTTGCCAAGCGTGGCTTGTGCCGCAGTGTCCTCTACCCAATATACGTCTTCGAGAGACATAACATCCATTTGCATTAGCCTGATGAGACAGAGATTGGTATTGTAAAATTTATATTGATTTATTTTTATCAATTTTTATCATATCGAATTAAATAATAATTTGCTATTTTGATAAGAAATAATTCCACAAAATCTGCTTACTTTTGATAATAGCTATGTAAGCCATGATCTGCCAACCATTGACGCAACACAAGCCGCTGTTGCAACAAACGTGCTGCACGTTGCAAACGTTCTTCATCCTGTGCCGGAAGCTCGGGTAGCGCGTCGACTTCACCACAGCTGGCGAGGGTCGAGATACCTAATGACATTGAACCAAGTTCGATTGAAAATCAATTTATTCCGTATCTTTAAATTAAGAGATAGTATCAAACAAATAATAGTTATTTTTCTCATTTTTATTTTTAAACGAATCATTTTATTCAAAACAGTGTTAGGAATCAGAATACTGTATTTATGTAACAATTGTTTCAGAGATAAAATAATATCACAAAGCGGAAAACGTTGAAATAGATAATTTCGACGTTGAAGGTTTCGTCCATCCTAAACGAGCATTTCTGTTTCATTTATAGTTAAGTGATCATTTAGAGAAGAGCGAAATTGAAAATTGTACAAAATGAATCGAATATTCTTTGTATTATTTTATACTTTTAATTTAATGGTGATAGCATTAGCAAAGTGTACCGTTAACAATTATGAAGAAGGTGAGATGATCGTTATGAAGTTTCTAATACAATTATATAAGCAAAATATTCCTTTATATTCGTCGATGCTTTTAAGGCGCAATAGTCTTATTAACATAATTTCTAAATTGTATCGCGTATCGTCACTTGTTGAAATTTAGTTATACCAATTGCGAACGTTTACATTTGTATCACGTTTTCATTTATTATCGAATCAGTTCCTATTTTGTATTCGATTCATTGAAACGCGAGTTCTGAATAAAATCTACAATGAAATAATATTAAGTATAAAAATCTCGTATCTACAATCTTCTCCATCTTTTTTTATGATAATAATAATAATAATTTATGTACGTTGTATAAACTAATAATAATTATTATTTTGACAACATAAAGGATTTGGGAATCGAGTGAAGTGTACAAACGAAAGTCTATCAAAAGCACTGGATCAAGGAAATAACGTAGTAGCTGCGATCTTGATCATTCATTCGGATATACGTCAACTCCCAAAAGATACATTTATAAGATACGCCAATACTCTGGTGGCTCTGAACTTGCAATACTGTAACATCAAGGACATCGACGACGATGCTTTCCGTGGTTTGACTTATATCCAAAAACTCAGTCTTTCGAGTAATAACATTAGCCAAGTGAAGGATCGTTGGTTCCGAGAACTGAGTTCTTTGCAACAGTTGGATTTCTCTTATAATCAGATAAAGACAATCCAACCGCTAGCCTTCATGGCATTATCGAATCTTCGTAGACTCGATCTTAGTGAAAATCGACTCGGATGTTTGGAAAACAATGTTCTTCAACCATTGAGAAGTCTCGACAAATTACGTTTCCAGGGTAATCCGTTGACCTTCGAATGTCGCGCTAAGGTAAACCGAAACGGAGTACTTTCCACATGATCAGACTTGTCAAACTGCCAATTCTTCGACATTTTCCAATTTACGTACCTACCTTTTTATTTTTTTTTATTTTCTCTCTCTCTCTCTCTCTCTCTCTCTCTCTCTTTCTCTATTTTTCAACATTTTCAACATTATTTTGTTCTTTTATTCTTTAGGAAGCAATCAATCGAAAAATGTTATATATATATATATATATATATATTTGAATGTTTCAGCTAACTCTGTGGCTACGAGATCACGGTATTAATTACAAGATCGATCCGCGTGGTCCAGAATTCTGGCTGGACAACGTACTTTGGCTCTGTGCCGTGGACGATTCCATTCCTTTAGGGGATAAGAACGAACAAATGGTGGAATGCGTCATTTTGAATCTTTTCAATCAATTACGGACAGTTTGGACGTTACCCGATTCACCCTCGATACCGCAACAGTGTTCACAAGCAAGAAAAGATCTTACGAAATGTTTGGTCACCGGTGGACATAAATCATTGACATATTCTGCTACAAATGGTGGATTTATTAAAAATTTACTTTTACAGCTTAGAGAATTAAAATCGAGCGTTTGATGATTCTATTTCGATTTTTTTTTTGCTTTTTTTTCATTATGATAACTCAAATTTTCAAAGTGTAATTAATAATATTATTCGAACGTCATTTGCCTGTCTCTATTACAGGATAATAAATTTATACTCTGTCCTTGAAAAGAACAAGACAAATGATGTTGTACCATTTACCGATCTTATTAGACATTATCGTAGTATTAATATTCTTCTATGAAAAACTTTCCAGATAAAGCTATCTTATATTCGTAGAATTAATCATCGTAATAGAAGTAGAACTTTATTGATAGAAATCCTTGCCACGTGTACTTTAAGAAATATCACTTGATGTTCTATTATGTAAAGTATACTTACGCGATCATTCGCTTTAAGTTTTTTTGAATTGTTGTGTCATCAAAAAAAGAATAAATTTGGTTGATCTTTTCCTAAAAATATATATATGTATAGAAAAAAAGTAAATATTATCATTCACAGTAAAAGGATAGTGGTGGTATTGAGGAGGGGAGGCCACGATGACATTTTGTTTGATCAAACTGTCGAACGATAGGAAATGGGAAAATACGAATAGACAGTTCTATCTATCATTTATTTCAAAAAATATACGTCGAAGAATTTTGAAATCTTGAGGAAGAGAAAAAGAGACATGAACAGACATGAACAGACATGAGAATAGAAATATCGTAAATAATATAAAAAAAAATCGATCGATGTCGACTCACCGGATGAGGCGCTGCCGCTGGGCCGCAGTGACATGCCGATCGACGATATCTCGTCGACAAATAAGTCTTTGTTTTCGCGTTGTCCATCTCGACAGTTTGGATTTTTGTCCGGCATAATTCCTTCCTTCGGCGATCACTTATTATTTCCCTTTTTATATAAACTTTTGTCTTCTTTATCCGACTAACAATAATAAGATGTATTTTGTCCGCAATGCCGTTGTTCGTTGGATTTCGCGGTCATCTTTTCTTTTTTGGGGCAGGGGGGGGGAGAGAGAAAAAGTATCTTTTGATTGTTTTATCGCCAAAGTTTTTCACATTCTTCCTTTCTGATTCAACGATATACGTTTCTTATTTGTCTCAAGTTACACCACTTCTATCTATCTATATAAATCATTCTATACACGTAAAGTTTTGATTCTAACGAATGGAAAATTATTGAAAATAACAAGAAAATATTATATATTTATTTATTGATTAGAAAATATAGCGAGAGTAGAGACACCGATTGTGAATTATGTTCATTGTATTAGAAAAATGAATAGATTTTCTGTTATTATATATTTAACGTTCAAGCGAGTACATAACGTGTTTATCATTTTTATGAATAAATGTAACCCGTTGCATTAAACTCTACCAGGTGATTCATTTTAAATTATATGTTGCATGTTCCTGTTACAGTTATGATGATATATTACATACTATACAATACATTTACAATGATACTACTATACTGTAACTGCAAACGTAACATACTTTAACTGTGACAATGTATTTTGATAAACATTGTTAAAGTTTATCCATAACTCGATGAAATATCGATGAAAAATTACATTGTAAAAGGGCGTTTGAATTCGTATTGATATTCTCTATAACTATTGTTGAACTGAAACTATCGATTTTCATGAAAAAAAAAAAAATATTATTACTTCCGTATCTCGATATAACAAAGCTTTTTATAAAATAACTATAATAAATATTAGATTTCAAAATCTAGTAACTTTTATTTGATATACTTGTTTTTTTTTTTATATAAAATCAATAGGATTGAAGATATTTGGTTATATCGTTTAAAACAAAACACCTGATATTTATGTATACATATACATATATTGTATATTCCAATTGTAACTATAAACGAAAGGTAAACTGGATTTGTTGTTGTTGAGAGAGGGAGTGCACATGGGTGCAGAATTAAAAGTAATAAATTTAAATCGCATTAATCGTATGACAAATGCACTACAAAATTGCAGTTATACGAGCATATACAATGGGAAGAAAAATCGATAATTCACGAGAGAAATTAGTTCGTACATTTTTACAGAGCTTTTTCTTCATTCTCACTTGTAACCGAAATACGATAATGCAATTTATTTCTAATAAATTATTGAGGAGCGTTTTAACGGGTATTTTATAATAGTATTCATAATTTATCGAGTTCATTGGATTTGATTCATTTGCACGAAAAAAGAAGAAGTAAAAAAAAAAAAAAAGGTCAATGAGACACGCATGATTGGAGATAGGTAGCAACGATTTGTCAAAAGCAGTAATAGGATGCTATGAAATAAGGATACCTAAAAAAAAAAGGGGTCGAGAGTCCACTCGAGGTCAAATCAGGGTCGCCATATCTATGATTTTTTTCCCCCCTGTACTTCTCTACCCTTTTTTACGTATCGTTAAAAATGTCGTTTCTAAAGCATCAAGAGACAGATATCTGTTCCTTCATACGTGAAACACTCGACATTTTCATTTGAAACAATAACGATTCTTCATAAGTTTCGATGATTCTAATTAGAATCGTTGCCTCGTTAAAATAACGATCGGGAAAAATCGATTCTTTAATCTCTTTTTTTTTTTTTTTTAGAAAAAACAAGCAATATTTAATGAAATTTAATTATAAAATAAAAGTTAACGTTAAATACTTTGCGTTATTTTCCATTTGAATATTCACTATTTATCCTAGTAACACAAAATATTGAAAAATATTGAATACATGTGTATATATAATATTAAAAAGACATTTAATCTCTTTTACATACACATGTATTCAATATTTGTCAATATTTTGCGCTATTAAGGTAATTAATAATTTTCTACGTTTATTTATTTGTTCTTTTTTCCATAACATCAACGAGTTAACGCGTCACCGTTTCTTGTGTTAACAATTTTGAAAAATGTTAATTTCTTTTATTTGATTTTATTTATTTATTTATTTATTTATTTTTTAAATACCGAGGCAAAAACGATATCACATTCATTACAAGCGTAGGGGGGAAAAAAATTCATGTCGGACCCTTGACCTTTTTAAACAGATATCCTTCTTCGTTGGTATTACTTCGTGCTAACGATCCTTTTGGCGTTAAGAGAAAGAGGAGAACCAGGAGTAAAACCGGGGCATATGTATGTCACACATACTCATGATTATGCATGAGAGAGTAGTAGGTGTTATGAAGGTAGGCCAGATCGATTCGCTGTTTTCCATCTCTGCTTGCTTGCTTGCTTGCTTGCACTTGCTTGCTTGCACTTGCTGCACGCGATACCGGGTCAGGATTATCAAATTCAATTTCCATTGTTTAAATATCTTTTATTCTTTCATTTATTCTTTTAGTCCATCCTTCGAAACGAACTATAATAACATCTTCATGATACGACTTAATTGAAAGACTAAAAGTGTTCATATGACTGAATTTTGCATACAATAGAACATGCAACATGTAAATATGTTCATTTTTTTTTTTTTTTAACTGAATCATTATAATAGATTAATGTTTATATTTGTCAACGAAAGAAGTCAACATTTTTTATTTGTTTATACATATATATATATATATGTATTTATGCAAATATATACTGTCGTATAGATCTCTCAAATTGTAAACAAAACATTTAAAATATGAATTTTGTTGAGAGACATCGGAGAGGTCGCACGTGTTTGGAATATTCGAATATTTTATCTTGTATTTTAACATTAGTCCATATATAATATTTTATTTATAGAACGCATATATATACGATGTATATATTTATTTCTTTCGTAATGATATTTGTAAAAATAATTTGAAAAAAAAAAAAAAAAAAAATTGTTTTCTCTCACTTTATCTCTTGTTGCATTTTTTTTTCTTTTTTTTCTAGCTTATTTGTAAAACCAAGTATTGTGAATGCTATTATTAAAAACTTTACTCAACAATAGGTGCGCGCGTTTGCGAGAGAGTTGAAAAAAAAAAGAAAAAAAAAAAAAAAATTCTTTCTATCTCTCTTTTTCCAATTTTTTCTTTCTTTTTTTTCCTTTTTTTTCCAGGGTAACTTTGGAATTGCCTCTTTTCCCGAATACTTTTTATTTCTAGTTTTTGGTATAGCACATTAGCACACCGTATGCATGCATCGCGTGGGCGTTACGAGGCACTTGAAGGATTTAAACTAAAGTTCGCATATATTGTCTAAGATAGACAAAAGATAGAATTGTTCGTTGTACTAATTAAAACTTCTTTCTTTTTTCTGTTTTTTTTTTTTTTCTCTTAACATTCCAGGTACTATTGAGAATACATACACATTGTTCTTAACGAACTTAATTAGAGGATTTTTTCTCGTCAGCTTCGTTTGACCAGCTATCAAAGTATGTATATGTATGTGTGTAAAAAAAGAGAAAGAAAAATTTTGTTTAAATTTAAAAACTCGTATTATATATATATATATAAGATTTTATCTTATGAATATTGAAAATAATTTGATAATTAATCGTTTAAAATATCGCTTAAGTTTAATTAATTGTCAAATAAAATTGTGAAATTATTGATATATGAAGTGAGAAAGAACAAGTTTTTAATATTTTAAATCGTATCATAAAATGATATCATTAAATATTTCAAATAATCCAATAATTATAATCGTTTAAAATATCTCTAACGTTTACTTAGTTCTCGAATGGAATTGGAAATTATCTATATTGCAAGGAAATTACAGACGTAACTCACATATACGCAACGTTATTACATTTGTCCCTCTAATCATTCTAATCGTTGTCTAATCGGTTCAACGTATAAACAGAACAGCCATCCGGCATTGAAATTCGTTTTCATTAACAATTCTCTTTTCGCTCTAGTAGAATTGAACTTTTAATGAAACGCTTTCAAATAGACTTTAGATTGATTTTCATCGATATTCGTTTACGGATCATTTAATCAGAATACTAATGAAAAAGATATCAAGTTAAATAAAATGATCACGAAAGATTACTCTTTTTTTTTTCAATTAAAAAACAAAAATATTAAAGAAAACAGTTGTGTGCAGATCACACATGGTAAAAGTGAAACCTTCAAGGAAAACCAAGCTTTGAGACGTGAATATATCGAAATAATTGAATTGTAATACAGTGCCATCTATTGAAAGAATCTTACAGAACCTAGATAATCTCTAAATAAAAATCTTTAAATTAGTAATAAAAAATAATAATAATTAAACAAAAATCGCGATAAAAATTGTGCTATGTGTTAAGTTGGAAAAAATTACGTGAAATAAAAGCAAATTTCATTAAGATAAGTTGAATAGTTTCGGAATTATTAGTAGACAAACATATTGTGACACTGAATTTTGTATATATAAAATTTTATTAATTAATTAATTAATTAAATAATATAGAATTAAATTATATATTGAATTTAATTAATTAATTAATTATTTTTGTTTCATCGGTTTCACGTTCTTCCGTTTCACGTTCTTCCATTTTACGTTCATCCGTTTCACGATTTTCCAATCACCCTGATTCTAAAGAAGTTTTCACTTCAATAAAAAATATTACATCGATCAAATGATTGCAAGGATCATCGTTTCAATGTTGAACAATAAAACATATCAACTATTTGACTTAAGCTACGAAATCGATTGGTCGAAGTTCGCGTGTAAGCAAGGTGATAGTTGATAAAGATAAAATAAT